CCCCCCCCCCCCCCCCGCCCCCCTTTCTGAGGACATCGAAGCCCCAGCCCTGTGAATGACACACCTCCTGTTTCATACGTCGCAAGCGGAGATGGTAACGGAACCAATCTTCCGTTGGGTTGCACATCTACTCAGAAAGCGAGCTGCTAACAGAGCAATACTACCTCTTCGAAGGAAGTAGACTGAAACAGCAAGGATCTCCAAAAATTTAAAAAGTAGATCTTTCGATTTTCGCATACTGTGGGGCAAAATTAGCCTATTTATTGTTAGACGGGGAAGCACGTTTGAAGGTGTGAATTAAAAAGTCTGCGAACTTTATTACCATGCCTTGCAGGCTTAGCGAGTTATGAGCAAAACTTCGGCCTCAGGCTCAACGTAAATCCATACTTGTACTTTCCAGGCACTCTTTCACTACCGGGGCACCATTCCATTCGCACTCCCTTCCCTCTCCTTCTTAATGACTTTACAATCCATAGCTATTCAGCATACACACGTGCAACGCGATGAGGAACTCATTCAATATCGGCATTGGACCGTGAAGCTGAAAGCTAAGGAACAAAAATAGCTGTAGTGAGTTTGCGGAAAGCGCTGAATTGCAGTAAAGTCATTGGCCGTGACCTATTCTACCGCCTATTCCCTTGCAAAACGGCAGCTGAATAAAAGACCTTTATATCTTAGCAGACGCGTCTGAGCAATCCTTGTTGGCTGTGAACTCATGGCTGCACCATATGTACTAGGAAAAATAAGGAATGAGGTTTTTTAGATCTAATTCATCCCGTTCTGGAAGGCGCCACGCATTGGACTCGCATGCGGATTCGTAAAGGCTTATTGAATGCGTATGTCTCATTCACTAAATTGTGATGGCCAGCCGATGTGCATGTCAGGGCTATTGTCCTCACAGGCAAGTCTGGTATGAATGAATCGACATCGCATGGATGGGAGGCTTGGTTGGATGGGGCGTGCATCGTTCTTGGTGTCGATCCCAGGACCATGCGTACGTGATAGTGCGCGAATTGCCGCTACACCCCCTCCGTGCTTACCAAAGAGAGGCAAGCAAAGGACCTCAAAGAGCTGGCAAACGCTGAGCGAGTATAAACGCTGCAGGTGGACCGTTTGGTTTTCCTGTTGATCAGTGGATATATGTGATGTGAATTTTTTTAAAAAGTCACATAAATATTTCATAAATTTATTGAAGATCACTTGAGACTTTGTCTTATAATGGTCATATCACGCTTTCAAACAATCTCTGAACAAACTTCGAGAAATAATATTAAATCATAACGGACCAAATCTCTCTGTATAGGATGGCCCCGGAATTGTTGGCGAACGGATGAGGCTCTGTGATTGAGAAAATAGAAAATGAGCAAAGGAAACTATAACATTGTTACAAACAAAAACATGAGCTGAAGATCGATTAAATCGATTTCTGGCCTTCTCATACAACATTAGTCTTAATGGGAAACAGCCTGATGTTAAGACTAATATACATACATAAAAATAAGCGAAATAAAGAGAGTAATTTAGGAAAAAACAAGCTGAAGACACAGAATCAGAAATGGATCGAAGCTACCCGTAGTCGATGAAGAGACAGTGCTGACAGTCGTGCAACGATACAAACAGAAAATACCCGTGGAAATTGCACTGGACAGGTGCAACAAAACAGGTGAGAGCATAGGCCACTGGGAAGTATGTGCAACGGGGTATGGAGGGAGGGAATGAGCAGGACTACTGCTATACTGCTGGAAACTGCTCGTAGGCTGACAGGAATTCCAAGGCGGCAAGATAGAGGAAATGGTACTGCTCGGTGTCCTGTACCATATTCTGGCGCTCAGTTCGTAGCAGTTTCACCTGAATGAAAATTCGTATAGTAAATCATGTTAGTCAAGGTCTGAACTATGAAATGATCCATAAAAGCCCCTGGGAGCGGGGGTTAAAGAGCACTCTTCGACAGTGTGGGACCATTCCAAGGGGGAAGAAAGCCGATTGATGTGCTCCCACGAGGCTTCCGGAAAGGCTGAAATGAACTTCCCAGACCACTCACCGTTGTGAATACGTCGACGACGTGCTCCAATCGCATCCGGTCGATGATGATCGATAGCGCAATGAATACACCCGTACGACCTGCTCCCGAAGAGCAATGGATCACAATCGGTCCATCTACTCCGAACTGAGTTTTAGTCCGATGCACCTGAAAAATTACGAATTGAGATGCCTAATTAGATGGTCCTACTCGTTTGGGGAAACTGACTCCGAAAAATGGGCAGTTACGACAACTTCGGGAGGAAAATGGATGCTCCGGCAGCAATGGAGGGAGCGGAAGAGCCCATTTCCCCAAAAATCACCCAAAACCTTTCCCATGTAATGAAAATTGAAGTCTCTCCAAATGAATAGATTTTTAAACGAAATGTTGAATTGAAATCACCTGTTGGATCAAATCGAGGAAGCTTTCACCCGATTTCGGTGCACCTTGCTCTGGCCATTCAGTGTATTGGAAGTGCCGCACGATACGAGAGATGCCGGACTGCAAAATAATAAAATGAAGTACTCAACAGTTACAGTCAAACAGAATCCAGACGGGAGCTACCACATACCTGAACATCACTAAGTCGGAATTCACGCAGAATATACTCCCGCATATTGTATTCGGCGATCGGCTCAACAACCAACTGTCCGACTTGTGCTCCTGTCTCTTGTGGCCAGTATTCACAGCATCGATTCTAAAATCAGAATTGATGACTAATAAGTGGGCGCTAGTCAAAATGGAAATCTCCTCGTTCAATTCTATGGATTACATATGGTTTCCACCCTTACAACGGTTGTTCAAAATAGAAATTACTGGATCAATCCTATCCATGGATTATGGTCAGCCCAGACCCATGCTTCAAATTCAGAAAAGAACTAAAAGTTTCAAAAACTCCCGAACAGGTTGGATATTCCACAGATAGGATGGAATTAATGAAGCAACCTTTGATCAGGTTAGCAATCATTCTAAGAAAAAGGTATCCTGGTACAAAACCGGGCCGTAGACCAGTGCGAGCTTCCCATTAATAAACCATGACCCTTCCTGGGTATCCTGTATCAACATAATAAATCAATTAGAAACTAAACAACTGACCCTGCCCATTTCCCACGTTTTTGTGAGCATGACAATTATGGCACAGTCATGCTCCCACACCATCCGCCAAAAATCAGCGATCGTTTGTTCCGTAGGGCCTTGCGTTGCAATGTAAGCACATCGTTCCCTGTAAAGTTGATTAGAACTTAGCCAACTATGGACAATGCCGAACCGAGTGCCTCAAACTCACCGGTAACCGTCCACCCAGCTGGCATTGATGTAGTCACTCCCATCCACTCCAGGAATGACTTGCATGATGACTCGATTACTATCATACGGAATTGCGGCATTTTGTCGGTTCTTATGTCGATTAGCCGACATATTCGCAATCGTGCATCGCGAATTCGACCACTTCAGCGTTGATAGGTGCTGCAATAATGTAGAGATTTAGATTCAGATTAAATAAAATAAAAATTCAAGTCAGGCATAAGCTTTTGAAGCTCATTAATCGACTCTGGAACTGCATTGGAGGATGAAAACGCTGATTTGGGACGCCCACTTCGCCCCCACAGAGGATTGAAGCGAACTTGTCTTAGATTAAATAAGGAGAAGAATCAGAGGCCGGTGAACCGACGGGCACTAATTCGTGAGCCCAGCTTTCGATGTACCGAAATGGAGCCCATCAATAGTAACAAGTACCCCTTCTTTACCTATGGTAAGAAGTAACCGAGGAAAACAATAATCACTTATCCCCAAGTTCGGGCTCAGACTCAATTCTCACAACCTTTCACATACTACAAGTGGTCGGAGGCCTCCAAAGAATCCAGTACTAAGACATTCGTCACAACCCATCCCCTTGATGGATTTGCATGGCTCGTTAAGATCCTCACTATTCATTAAAGATGGTTTGGGTTGGGTTTCATTGAATGAGGCTGAAAAAGACGACTATCGCGATAAATTGATAGTAATGACACACAACTACGCTACAAACACCATTAAACCTATGCAAAGCTCGGGACTGACCCTAAATTCGAGTTCCATGCCTGCCGCTCCTTCCATAGGGGCCATCTGTTGCAATGCCATTACATGCTGCCTTAATTTCACAGCTGGTACCTCCGTCGAACCACTGTTTACCGCATCGAGTACAGCGTCGTGAATAAAGATATACTGGTCTTCAGTCTAAAGCCAACATTACTTATACTTGCCTCAACAAGGACCGATCACGTCTTTACCTACCTGCACCATGTACGACCGCTGGCTTCGGAGGGACGTCACGCAACCGAATATGTCGACGGTGTTCTCATACCGTAGTCGCTCGAGCATACAGTCCACAACGATAAACGCTCCCGTTCTACCAATTCCGGCACTGAAATCTTTGCATTAACGGATTTCCTGCCATCTAAATGTAGCTCTGCAAATACCTGCAATGCGAGATGATTGGTCCAGCATCCGGAGGGTTCAGGGTCTTCACTCGTTTCAAGAAAATCAGGAACGGAGTTGGATGATCGGGGACGCCGTGGTCAGGCCAAGCAGTGTACTTAAAAAAGATTTTCAATCCCTCAAAGATCTCAGAACTCTCAAAAGGCTTGTCACTTGGAAGTCAAAGGCAAACTGATGGTTTTTCTCGAAGCCACTGAAAACCTCACCTGTAGATGCCGTATCTCACGCATTTCCATCTCTCCAACTACCTGTATCCGGAATGTCCGCATAGTGTAATGAGCCAGTACAGTCGTTTCTATGAGCGTCACCTAGATGAAGGGTTTCATAGAGGGAGTAATGAGCCACCGTGCTCATTGAATGCCGCACACCACCAACCTGAATCTCCCCGTACGTCGAGCTGCCACGGGTTGGCCAGTACTGATCGCATTTCACCCTAGACCGTTCCTCCAAATTTGTCAGCATTACAATCGTTGACGATCCCTCTTCCCATACCATCCGCCAAAAATCTCCAAACGTTTCCGGTAAAGGTCCTTGCGTAGCGATGTAAGCCTTGGGCTGAAAATGATGCCTTCTTTGAAGTACCAGAAGTAGGACCAGGTCTGAGAAATTACCTTATCGTATCCATCGATGTAGTTGGCATTGATGTAGTCGGTACCGGGGATTCCATCAATTGAGGACAGCACCACCCGAGAATGATCATAAGCGACCACGTTAGCGTAGCGATTCTTATGCTTATTCATATCGGCATTACTATTTTCCCATGTGAATTGCTGCCCAGTTTCGATAGACTCAAACTCCTGAAGTGATTTATTGAGGTGCCCCGAAAATAGACGACTTATTCAGCTTGGATTTCGTACCTGTTGAAAGCCAGCGTTGTTATTGAGACGGAGCCGTTCAATGTGTTGAGCCAATTCGGAAATTGGAACAGCTGGGTGAGTGACGAGGTGTGTACCTAAACACCGCAGCAAATTAGTTGTTATTCAGTAACTAACTGATACATTGTCCCATAACCATTCCCTGGGAAAGTAAGCAACTGTCTTTTCGTAGACGTGCTTTCATAGGAATGTCTTTATCTCCCCCCGTCTCCCTCCAAGTAGAAGCCATTCATTAGACGGTCGGCTCGGAGGCCATATCCGGCGAAAAAGAGAAATATGCTACTCTGAGTAGATGGGGGCGCCAATCGATTTTGGCGAGTGTACCCCCTCATCAACATTAAGCGGATAGAGAAAACGTCGTCGTCGTACCGAGCATTCCACCACTGGATGGCAAACAAGGCAAAGGCACTGGGACTGGAGCATAATTTCCGCCAGCTGAACGTGATTGACTTCGAGGCAACGGATATAGATCCATAGACGATTCCATATGCCCATTTCCTTGACCGTTCATCTGTAATGGAATCATATTCATGGATATCAAGTACTTTCCCAGAAAACGCCTACCTGTTCGTAGGGATTCATCACAGTACGTCCATAGGTGTCCGTAGATAGTAGCTTACTCGTCTCACCCGGGATACCGTTCATAATATTACCAGTGAGGGCTACTTTCGTGATTGAGCCATGACGATGAGCCCTACCAGCTGACTTCTTGTTGCATCGCAACCACCTGGAAAAGTTTAGTGCCTACTACGACTTCAACTCATAATTTTAAAATTTCGAAATCTTACCAGCAAACTAGCATTCCAATCAGAATTGCGATGATGAGCAGAGCGATAAGTGGGCCAATG